AGTGTTTGTTAGATGAAGCAATCTTCACTGAAAAATAATCCTTTCAGGCAGAATATTCTTACTAACATTCACCAGCATGACTAACATCTTCTTGCAAGTTTTGGAAAGGTTTACATACAATTTATAGTACATCAGTGATAAAAATCACTATTTTTAGAAAATATAATACAAATAGTAAAAGAAATAACCATTACAGTAAACCATAGGTTTCACGGAGTTCTCAAGAGCTGCATCAAGTGGTAAGACAAGAGGAAATGGCCTTAAGTTGCACTAGGGGAGGTTTAGGTTGGGTACTAGGAAACATGTTTTCACTGAAAGGGTTGTAAGGCATTGGAACAGGCTGCCCAGGGAAGCAGCTGAGTCACTATCCCTGGAGGTCTTCAGAAAACGTGTAGATGTAGTGCTTAGTGACATGGTTTAGAGGTGGAGTTGGCAGTGCTAGGTTAAAGGTTGGACTAGATCATCTTAGAGGTTTTTTCCAAACTAGATGATACTCTGATTCTAGATCATTCTGGTTATTCAAAGCTCACTCAAACTACAAGCTGGAAAAATAAAAAATGACAGCAAATACTTTAAGTAATTTCCCATTTGTTTTTTGCTTCTGATAGGTAATGAAGAAGAATCAGATCAGTAGCTGATTTTTCTCACGTTCCTGACTGAAACCTGGCCTTATGTTAGAAAAATTTATCGTCCATGTGTCTGCCCATTAAAACTAGATTGAACAGGCTTAAGAATACCAAGCAGAACATCATTAGCCTGATGAAATGAATAATACCCTTACATAGGTGTAATCTGATATTGATGATAATGCTCTTTTACAGTGAACCTCAATGTCTCTCTCTCTTGCAGAGAGAGGAAAATGTGAACCTCTTTCCAGCCTGATTCAGCAGCACTCACTAGTAATCACCTGGAAAAATAATCACAAAACATATCCTCATAATTAAAAATACATTCCTGTCTTCTTCATTTGATCTTACAGCTGGATGGAACCATATTTAAAATATTCCATTTTTAACCAAGAACTTGCTGCATCATAGATATGATCTAATTCAACCAGTGAGATGGAAAAACATTATAGGCATCACTGAATATCTTAGGTCATATGGCTTGCTTACAAATCTTTGGTGCGAAACTGGTTAAAAACCTTGTTCTAAACAAGGGGGAGAGGATATAAACTTTAGTCTCTCAGAATTCAGGTGCACTTCTTCCAAATATGCCTGATGATTAAATTACATGGAGATATTCATTGTTTCCTTCTCTCTTTAGCAAGGTTGCCTGAACGCTTTTGTGGTACTGTGTCTAAAAAGTACAAATATATTTCATTATTAAAATGCTTGTGTTCTGCTCCACTTGAATGGTATGCAAAGATCACACCTGCACAAGCAGCCCGAGGGTGATCAAAATATTAATCAGGAGAAAAAAGGAAAAAAAACAGAAGCTGTCAAACTGCACTCTGGAGGATGCATTTATTAAAGACCTGAAAGCAGAAGACATTCTGATACTTACAAATACCATGGCATCAGACTGTTGGGTTAATGTTGGAAGTGCCTCTTCCCAGATCACACAGTCTAAACTACATTCTCCAACACACAGTCCTGATACTTCATAGAATGGCAGTTTGGTTAATGAAATTTTGCTATGAGGACAAACAGAAGAAATAATGCAGCAGAATGACAGAAAGCAAACAGAGAGACAAAGGATACTTCATAATGGAAAAGTACAACTTCTTTTGCTTCTTATCCAAGCTGGTAGCAGATGACATCGACAGCACTTCAGGGGCACAGGAAGAATGGACATGGAAAAGGACTGCCAGATTTGCTGGGAAAGCCATTTACAGGTAATGTAACCATAGTGTTGAAGTGAATTCTCAGGGCTGATTCACACTTTACCACTGTTAGATTTAGAGTGAGATTTTGTGGGTAAATCAAATGCTAGTAAGAGTCTGCAAGCCTCTGATTCTTGCATGTAATGCAAAACGTACACAGTGAGACACATCCCTGTGTTGCATCCGCATGTGCTTCACACACCAGATTCCTAGATAAAAGATAGTCCTACAGTTGAAGCACTGAACATCAAATGGACAAAGGTAATGTTAATTTCTAGTTCCATCAGAGAAACATGCCAAAGAATTGTGCGAACCACTTAACCTAATTTCAGTTTACTGCCTAAAAGTTGTTAGCGCTTTGTTTTCCTTCCATCCTCAAATTGTTTTTCAGTTCCTCTCTAAGATCTTTGGGACAAGAATCTCTCTACCTCTGAGCATGGCTACAGTTATAGCAGCAACTGCAGTAAAGAGACAAGAGCTAGATTTTGACACATGGTCCTGGTACAGATGCCAGCCCACATGGGATTGTAGAGATCCGCATGACAGCTCTGCTGAAGCATCCTACATTGCTGCACTTGGGCTAGCACAAGCAGCAGGCTGTGATTCTGACATCCTACCTTGCAATCTGGAAATGTTCCCTGCAGCCCTGTATTTACCGTGCACTGCCCGGAATGCTGGGCACGGACAGCTCTTACCACAACAGTGAGGCATGAAGTGGTTTGTCAACTTCTCAAAGTACTGTTTGCAAAACCATACTGGTTGGCCTAATATTGCTGCCAGCAAAATCACTGACAAAACCCTTAGACCATGACATTTATGAAAATGCTACCAGCACTAGAGAAATTTCAGTGGCAATCTGATCTCCCAGACATCTGTGATAGCTCAGAGACACTTCTGTGAGCAATAAAATATCCTCCCTACTCTGCATACAGGCTTCTTGTCCATGAAACCTGCAAGAACACTGTTTAGAGCACCATACATTGAAATCCTCTTGCGAAAAGACAAGGGAGGCATAAGAACTGAAGATTTTTTTAAAGATACAATTAAACATTAGGTGTTAGTTCCTAGCTAGTCTATGGATCTAGAGAAAACATTCACAGTACAGTCACAGACAGTGAGACACTTGTAATTTTTAAGGAAAGGGAGTTACAGCAATTAGTTCCTGTCGCATGGGATTGCGAAGCATACCAGACAGGTCAATTCTGCAACCGTTTACTGGTCAAATATTTAAGTGCATATTTAAATAGCAAATCTGATTATCATTCCTTGGTGCTGTAATTACAGTTCACTGGAAGATGAAAACAAAGAAATTTCAAACTTAAGCTTTTGTCAGTGCCAGTGGTTTTGGTGACAGCTCTGGAGTAGCACCTCTATTTGCACCACCATCAGGAAGAGTGGCGGGCCCTTGGCATGTGTGGGAAGCCAGACATCAGCTCAATTTGGATGCCAAAACCCGGCACCCGTTGTCACTGGTTGGTAATGAACATCGGGGCTTCTTGCAAGCCAGAACAGGGGAAGAACCACAGGGCATACCCTTGCACATACCGTAGAGCTTTCTCACGGCATGTAACTTCAGTCATACTCACGACTGTTAAAAAAAGAATTTTACGCCAGTTGCTTGCTATGTGTTTGTATTAAAAAGACTCTGGGACTCTGTCGAGTCCCGGCATCAACCCTGCAGCGGGCGCAAAGCGAATCACGCCTCAGCGGGCAGGCTCGGCCTCCCCTTTGCAGAAACACCTTCCCCTCGCCCCCAAAAGCTGCTGCTGTCGAAAACAAAGCTATTTCTGCACGCCCACCGCCAGGTAAGCCCGGCTGCTCCCACCACAGGCCTCACACTCCGGGGGCTGGGTGCGGGGCTCGCCCCGCCGCAGCCCCCGCCCGAGCCTCCAGCCCCGCGGGGCGCCCCTCCATGGGGGCTCCCCTCCCGCAGGCGAAGCCCCCAGCGCCTCCCTCCCCCTCAACCAGCGCCCTGCCGGCCTGCCCGGAGCCCGGCGGCTCCCCGCGACATGGCGGCAGCCCCTACCTGCGAGGGCCGGCCGGCCGGCGGCCAGCAGCAGCAGCAGGAGCAGCAGCGCCGCCAGCAGCGGGGCGCTGGGCCCGGCCGCCATGCCGCGGACCGGCCGGGCAGCACCGGCCGCCCCCAGCAACCGGGGGCCCGGCACGGAGCTCGCCGCCCTCCCCCTGCCCCCAGTCCCGCCTCCCGCTACAGAAACACGGCGGGGGCGGCACCGGGAGGGTGGAGGGACGGCCCTGGGGCTGCCACAGGCGTCCTGTGGAATAGGGGTGGCTCCTCGCGGTGTGTTTCGATAGTTTTGTTTCACCGGGCTCGGCGGCGGTCCCCGGGTTGCCCCAGCTGAGCACAGGAGGAGAAGGGTGTGAAGCCCTGTGCAGAGCACTCGGCGTTGTGTTTGTGTCCAACACTTCTCTCCAAGTCTGCTGCCATCGCTGCATCCCTCGGGCTGGAAGCACTCAAGGTGGTCAGCACACAAGGTGGTCAGCACTCCCACATGTGGCCTTGTCCCCACACGATTCCAAGGGTCAGTTCTGGTGTCCCCTCCAGATCACTCCTAACAAGATCATAGAAGGTTGGAAAAGACCTTCAAGATGAATCGTTTCAACCATCACCCTTCCACCAATGTCAATGTTGTAATACACAATAAATGTTTGTTCATTGTCTTTTGTAAAAACAAGGAGTTCTGTTTGAGGAACGGGAGTTGTGAAAACTCCCTGCTGAAGTAAGGAGCTGTATAATGCTTAGCTAGACACTATGAAAATTCCTTTGCTTAATGTAACAAAAAAGAGAACCCTCTCCCCTTCTCTCCTTCTGCATCTCAGTAGCCTCTTTTGTTCAAAATAACACTGCTGCAAAGTTCATGTAACCATCTCCTGATAAGTTGTTAAACCAGTGTATCAACATCTTGCCTTCCTGTCTCATGCTGGGCCAACATGACCAAATAAAGAAAGAAGTTGAACCACAACGCCAAGGAAGACTACGGCCTTCATCTTCACGACCACCAGAGGGACAGAGACGACCCCCTAGCAACAGTGCGCGCAGTCGCAGAATATACCAGGATGTGCTGCGTAATCCCGGAATTACCAAGATATAAAAAGGGACCCTGGGGGGGGTGAGGTGCGCGCCGTTGGCGGAGCCGAGACTCCCCGGCCGCCCAGCGCTGTTTTGCTTGCTGTTGCTTACTCAATAAATTCCTTTCTCTTATTAATGCAATGCTCTCTGAAAATTAATTAAGGGGGCAACTTATAACAAATGTCACCCACTAAACCATGTCCCTAATCACCAGGTCCAACCTGGTTCTCCACCTTTAACCAGCTCTCAGGATATGTGACCCATTAGCCACAGACCTGGGAATAATTAACTGACAGACCTGGGAATGGACGGCACACACAGCCCTGGTGCTGTAGGAGAGTTGTCTTAAGCACACCATGTGGCTCAGTAAGCATTTCACCTGTAATTTTCATGGTTTCATTTTGTTTCAAAAATTTAGTTTTGGATTGCTAATTCTCTGATGGCACTGTATGACTCGGATCCTTACATCTAAAATTGATAGACTATGTTTTTTGTACTTCAGAAAACTATTTAAGTATAAATAAATTAAAATAAATTAAGTATAAATAAATTAAATAAATTAAATTAAATTAATTATAAATAAATTAAATTGATCAAATACTCTAGTGAGGGTGCTATATGCATACAAGGAAAAGAAGTCTGAAATGGACATATAAGAGGTAATAAACAGCACATCACAGTCCCTTTAAAGTCCCTTCAAAGAACAGAAGGAAGTAATCTAGGTATGTTGTACTTGTACCCTTGTAAACACTATTGCCTTTTGTAATCATGAAATAAGAAGTCTTATCTACAGCTTTTTTACTGATTCTTTTTGTACCAGATATGGGATATAACTACAATCATACTTGCATAAAGAAGTCATGTTTTGTTGTAGAATGAATATACAGCAGGTAGACAAAACAAAGTGAAATTATTATAAGCTGTACAGAACTTAAACTAGACAGAGGAAATTCTGCATTTTGCACCTTATCAGTGGTGCCCTGTACTTGAAAGCTCAAGGTTCTAGGTTTTTTTTGTTTGTTTTGTTTTTTAAGAGCATACTTGAACTACTTGTGTATAAGCCACTTATCATACTTAATTCAAATATGCAGACATACCCTTAGTTACATACATCATCCATGCCAGGAACAGCCTTGCAGTCATAAAATTTTCTCTGATATAATCAGCTGGCAGGGTGCTTTCTAATGTGTCTCAACAGGTCAGTTGTTTTTTTAACTTGTTACTTCACTTACACATAGAACTGGAATTTGTGAGATGAAATGCTACACTAAATAAGCAGAATAAGTAACCTAGATAATATTCCAAGGCTGCAGAAATAAGAAAAGTTGTGATGGAATGAATCTCTTCTGGGTCAGCTGTCTGGTTCCTCTCTTCCTTTGAGGTTTGTAGTCATCATTTAGTCAAGATTTTCCTTAGAAATTTTTGGCAGGCTTTGCTGTCTTCACAATTTTAGAATAATGTGCTTGGGTGGAAGCCATGTCCAGTGGGAAATCATAGGGAGTGATCTTCACCCAGATATTATTTAACAGATTTATTAAAAATCTCAAAGTCAGAGACCTGATAAACTTCTTTCTTTTCAGACTGGTGCTCTAAGAAGATTTGTACAAACCTTGAGAAGGAGATACTAAAAATGTATCAAGATAGTCCAGGATTCAAACAAGAAGGTCAAAAGCAAAAAGGATATAACATGGAATAAAGATCCATAATGTGTCTGAAGCTGGAAAAGCAGGCCTGCAGGTGTGTGTCAGTGAAACTCTGTGCTTCTGATGGAAAACCTTGGGGAAAAAATTGCTTTTCCACTGACCATGTATTGCACAGGTATGACAATGTATCCCCAGTTAGGAATGGTAGTGCTGAGCAAGACATTTGGATGAGAGGCAAGAGACAGGTAAAATGGCAGTATCCTGTACATGCGGAGGTGTAGAACTAGACATTATTTTTAAATACTTTGTGATTCATGTCATAGGATGAAATTGGAGGACATGATACATTTGTTTTAAGGTATGTACAATTTAAAGTCTATTCCACATTGTAGTTTGATATAGTCACAAAAATATACTCAGTCAGTTAATGTGGTCTGTAACTCTACTGAGTAACTCTGCAATCACTGAACTAATTTTGTCATTAAATTGACATTTTTTAGTATGCTCATTTTGACATTACTTCTTGTCCAAAGAAAAGTAATCCACTCAATGTATGAGAAAGTTCAGCCTGGAGAAGAGAAGGCTCAGTGGGAATCTCATCAATGGGTACAAAGAGCTGATAGCAATGTGTGCAGAATAAGGAGCCAGACTTAGCGGTATCGAGTGGAAAGATAAAAGGCAAAGGGGAAAAAAACGAAATAATGGAAATTCTATTTAAATACAAGAATCTTTCTCACATTGAGGGTGGTCGAACGCTGGAACAGGTTTCCCGGAGAGACTCACAGAATCACAGAATCACAGAATTTCTAGGTTGGAAGAGACCTCAAGATCATCGAGTCCAACCTCTGACCTAACGCTAACAGTCCCCACTAAACCATATCCCTAAGCTCTACATCTAAACGTCTTTTAAAGACTTCCAGGGATGGTGACTCCACCACCTCCCTGGGCAGCCTGTTCCAGTGTCTAACAACCCTTTTGGTAAAGAAGTTCTTCCTAACATCCAACCTAAAACTCCCCTGGCGCAACTTAAGCCCATTCCCCCTCATCCTGTCACCAGGCACATGGGAGAACAGGCCAACCCCCACCTCACTACAGCCTCCTTTAAGGTATCTGTAGAGAGTGATAAGGTCGCCCCTGAGCCTTCTCTTCTCCAGGCTGAACAAGCCCAGCTCCTTCAACCACTCCTCGTAGGACTTGTTCTCCAGGCCCCTCACCAGCTTCGTCGCCCTTCTCTGAACCCGCTCAAGCACCTCGATGTCCTTCTTGTAGCGAGGGGCCCATCCTTAGTGATGTTCATCCTTAGTGACTAGTGACTCCATCCTTAGTGATGTTCAAAACTTTGTAGGGCACAGCCCTGAAAAACCTGATGTAGGTGACCCTAGTCTGAGAAGAGGAATCAGACAAGATAGCCTCCAGATGTGCCTTCCAGCCTCTGCTGTCCTGTGATGCTGTGACTCAGGCAGATACTTCATGGCCATGTAAAACAGGTATTAAGAGACTTCTGAGAAAAGAAAGGCCACATTCTGACGAAGGCCCAAGTGACCTATAGCTTTAATCCACATTTTCTTATGTCCTTCAGGAGTTCCCAAAAAGTCCTACTTGCTTTCAGTGAGACTTGTGTGTTTTTTTTTTTTTTTTTTAAGAAGTGTAAATCTGAATTCTTCTTTGATTTTAAGCCTTGCATCCTTAGTTCCTGGAAAGCTTTTATTTATTTATTTATTTTTGTTGGTAGGTTTGGTTTGTTGGTTTGGTTTGGGTTTTTGTTTATTTGTTTTGTTTTTATCATCTTTGGCATTTATTACTTAGGATTTTTTGTCTTCAAAGTGTAACAGTACTTGTTCCCTAAACAAATTCCTGGTCATGCAGACGGGCAGAAATCCAGTATGTAATTTTTTCTGTTTTCTGTTTGTTCTTCTTCCTCTGTAGGATTATTACTGTATGCCAAATGGATATCCTGTAGTCTTGACCTCCATGTGGAATATTTCTGTGAAAATACAAAAAATTTTCCAGCTAGTAAATAGATTCTTTCCTACTAATATTGGAGGTAAGCTTGCCTGCAGGTGACAGTCAGTCAGTCTATCGGTTAAAGCAGAATGTGTGGTATTACTGAGCTCTATAATACCCTGCACATTAGTTCCTTTCTATCAATTCCTTTTTGTTGGTTTTGGTTGGATAAAGATTTTACTGAAAAGAAAGCAGTTTCATGTCATACCAGAAACTACTTTAGAAATTAGTTTCTATTCAATTTTCAATGAACAATACTCTTTGCAAATTTCTGCTGCAGCCAAGACTTTCTTAGTGCCCTCATAGGTTTTCGGCCAATTTCATAAGCCAAAATTGTCCCCACATTTTGAAAAAAATTATATCAGATTTCTTTGGTTTTGGTTAAATTATGCTGATATGACAGTAGTGTAATTATAACAAACACTAAGACAAATATTAATTATTCTGATGGGAAAGATTGAATGCTGCCTGCAAGCAGTTAGGAGATGTCCTGTCCTAATAACTTAAAGATTTCCAGCTAAACAGAAGAAATTAATAATCTTTAGGAAAAAAAAAAAAAAAAAAAAAAAAAAAAAAAAAAAAACGGTGGAAAATGAATAATTTATTGTGTTAAAATGGCTTTTTTATTATTATTTCAGTCTTAATTTTAATTTAACACTGTATCAGGTGGCAAATATTCACTTGGATTTTCTGAGTGAGGGGTCAACACTGTGGACTGAAGCTCTGAGGCGTGTTAGACACAAGTTACTGATGTATGCTCCGTAGTCATCAAAAACAGACACGGAACTCCAGTGGTCCATGCAGTTCCATAAAGAGCTTGGCTGTAAAGACACTAGAGGGAGTCCTGAGGCTGCAATATAATCTTATTCCTGTATTTCTTAAGTAAATGGTACCTTATAAATAAAAATGTTGTTGAAATACAGCTTCTGGGAAAAATGAAGAGGTGTTTCGATTCAAGTAGGATCAAATGGTATTCAAATTCTAAATTCCGAGTTTTCCAATGATTCATTTAATAAGCCAAGTGAATTTAAAAAGGGCATTGTTAATAAGGACTTTATTTTTCCAGTAAAGAGAATATGTAAAGTCACCATTCAAAATGGAGTAAAAGAATCTCTTAGATTTTTCTTCAGTGAGTTGTCTTACCAGAGATATAAAATCTCTCTACAAAATCTGTGCTCTTCTTGTAATCCCTCATTATCTTGTGATCTTACACAAGTTAGACCATGTAAATTTTCAAGCTGGACAACTGAATTCATATTTACCTTGAAGATCAGGTTACATATTTATAGTAAAAATAATTTTCCAAGAAGTGCATAGGTGAGTTGGGAGCACAAGTTACTGTGGGATGCTGATCCATGCATATTCCTAAACCACTTCAGCAACTTTGACAATTCTGTTTTAGGTGTCTGAAAGAGAAATTTGTGTGCACCCAGGACTGGCTGTCCTCAGTTGCTCAGAACGAATGTTCATCCTGTGAGATAGCCTAAGTTCATCAGTGAGATAGCCTAAAGCAAGTTAAGATGCTGTATTCGGTACAAAGGAAGAGGGTAGTGTTGGCCTTTCTTCCCCTTGGTGGCTCATGCATCAGACCAAGATTTCTTAGCCTGCTTCAGGTATTCTCCATATAATCCCTGCCCTTTCCAAGACATCACAGAGTGCTCAGGTCTTGCTCCTCTCCTGATGTTGGGTGAGCTCTATTAGAGAGATCTGAAGGTATGTTCAGTAATAGATCATCCAAGGAACAAAAATTTGTATTTTTCAGTAATAGAATAATACAAAAATTTGTATTATTCAGTAATAGATCATCCAAGGAACAGAGGGCTGGAACTCCTCTGTTCCAGCCAGAGTGGCACAACATGGGAGGCTCAGTACAGGAGGCTGCAGCTGCTACTGGGAGGAAGAGGTTTTGCTGTTGCAGGACACAGAGAAGTTGGTGGGGTGACACTGGTGGGCATTGGTGCCCTTCGTCTGCACAGCAATAGCGTGCCATGGAGAAGTTCTTAATGGTAGTCCTCCCTGGACTGTTCATGTGGTCAGCCCAAAAGAGATGTAGTACTGTTACAAGAGCAAGAGGAAAATCACAGCCACCTAGCAGGCCAGCTGCTGTGCGTTCTCTCTGTTGCTAATCAGGGCGTGTGGGCCTAACCATTCTCCTCCTCCCCATTTTTTCCCTGTGGATAATAAGGCCCAAGTAATTGGTTTGATTCTGTGCAACAGGCTGTGTGATGGACCTGCTGTCCTCATGTTCATGCCTAAACTATTATGGCTGCTTTACTACCCCAATGAAAGATGCACCTCCTGACAGTACACTACAGTTTTAGAAAAAACATGCCATGAAGAAGCATGAGTTTGTATTATGAGGCTGCTATGCCTCTGCTTTAATCCCTGTAGGGTATGTGTCAGTGAACACAGGGTGCTCTATATGTGGTCTCTTCTAGTAAAAGATCAACCATAGTGCCAGATTTATTGCAATGGCTGGGTACTGCAGTGGTTTCACCCCTGCGGTAAAGGTTGGGGATGCTCTCCTGACAATCCTGAAGAAGCTCCAAGAGCCAGAGTGTGGCTACGAGCAGCTTTGGAACGGAGGACCATTCAGGAGCTAACAGGAGAAGATGTGTTAGGTGCCTTTCTTTTGGGACACCAGATACTGTGTTTGGACAGAATATCTTTAGATCATGGCAGCCCACCCAGCCTACTGGTTCCCAAAATCAGGTCCTTAGAAAATCCGGTAGTGCTATCAAAGGGTGTTAGTGATGGCAGCTGAATTTTGGGGTACCAGCTCAAATTAATTAGGCATAAGAATCTGCCCACCCAGAGTTATTTTTTAAAACAGCAGCTTAAAACTGCCTCCTTTTTGTTTTGATTTTGAGTACAACCTCTAGTCATTTCTTAGCAACACATTTTCTTAATTTACAGGGTACACTGATGAGTATATTAGTTTGCATAATAAGTGTTATTGAAAAATCTGTGATTATTAAAACAGATGTGGGAATTCATTCAGTGTACTGAACGATGCAGCATCTTTAATTTGTGTTATTTTTCTTGTTTGTTCAGTTTCAGTATGTGGAAATGCGTTTCTGTATCTCAGATAGTTACAGACATAAGTGCAGGAGTCCGAACAGTCACACTGGCATAAAGAAAATATTTATTTGCCCCAAGTTCAGTGTTAAGTGTTGTAGTTCAGTGTCCTCTCCTCTGCAGATCCATATGCAAGTCTCAGGTCATTTCTTTCGAGGGAACCTGTGTAAAGCTTCCGACTCCAGCAGTATCCCCAGAGAGAATCTCTCAAAACTGGGAGTCCTGAACCAGGTCTTCACCCCTGTCTGCCAAAGCAAAACAATCTGCAGCCAGACAGAAGTCCAACAAAAGAAAAACAGAAAAATAACTACAGCAAAACTATGCAAATAATCTTAGCACAGGGAGAAGACTAAAACTCAGCCTTTGTATAGGTCAAAGGAGGGAGAGGAGCTTGAGGGGATGGTGCTGAAGAAAATGCTTTCATTCCCCTGCCTTCAGCACGCTGAAAGAGAGAAGCAAATCCCCAGAGAGGGCCTCAGTTCCAGGGCAGTGGCATGTGGACTCCCTCAGGATATCTGAGGAAATTAAGTTCTTAGGTTTTAGTGAAAAACATCGTCTAATTCCATGGCATGGCTGATTTAGTGACTACCTAGGGATCAGACACTGCAGCAGCCCATTTACAAGCAACATGTGCCAGAATGCTGAATAGAAGTAGTGAAACTGAGAAGAACCTTTCATACAGGTTGTCTTTTGAGTTGTGTTTTTCTTTCTTTCTTTCTTTCTTTCTTTCTTTCTTTCTTTCTTTCTTTCTTTCTTTCTTTCTTTCTTTCTTGATACACTTTGCTTCACTGATTTCTACAGTTTTACTAATCTTTTTGGTTTCTGAAGGTTTTCTATGCTACTCTGGTTGATCGGTAACTTTGTTGTTTGTAACTCTTCAGCCAGACCCTTACCCTCTAGGAAAATCATTTATATTCATCTATACTGACCTGTTTTTCTCATTTGCCTGTGCAAACAATCCAGATTCTTCCAATAATGGTAATATATCTTTCTTACACCATGTGAATCCTAGATTAGTGAGAATTGTCCTCAGCATCATTGTTATCCTGTCTACACATCTGGTGCCTTTGCAAGCGCTGCTTTTAACATCATTAGAAATGAGTGCTGTCTTTACAGCCATTATGCTCTCATACTCGCATGGCTCCCATTCTTGTCGCCTATTTTGAAAAGTGCATTTGCAAATGTATTTTGTATGGCTTTGCTTTTGAAATTACTTACCAAATGGCAGCTGTAGTAGGTTCACACCATTACTATGCAGAAAGCTGTCTCTTTCTGTAAATCAATACCCTCCGTTGATAGTAGCTTTTACATCTGAATTGGGTTCCTGTTGTGCATCCATTTTACACAACTGCTGCTGGGCTTGCTAAATTATCTCTGACTCATGCTAGGTATTTTCACAGTCCTCACAATTTTGACTGTTTTGCTCTTTTAAAGCACTTGCACTGGAAGTAATGAGAACTGCTCTTTTTTCTGTTGGCCATGGGTACAGAATAATGTTGGCTGTGGAAGCATAACAGCATAGGATGGAAAGGACCACCTGGATCATTAAATCCCAATCCCAACTACTGCAGACATTACCTCATGTAATAATCTCTGTTTTTCATTTATTGAGCTCTATCTTAAAAACATTCAGATGGCTTGGTCTCATCCCTGTCCCAAGCCTGACTCCCCCTCTACAGAACTGCCACATGACATGGTTATCTTCACGGTCTGGAAACTTCTGATTTTAAGTTCCTTACGGGCAGCTGGTATCTCGCTTATGCCAACACTGCTTTTTCATCAGAACAGTTACCAGCCCCTTGGTGTTGAGACCTTTCCTCAATGTATTTGTAGAGAGCAGTGGTTTCTCTCAGCGTGGCTGAGCAAGCCTTGCTCACCTAACCTCCTCTCGTAAATTTGGCTCCCCGTACCCTTGCCGTTATCATCCTGGTGGCTGTCATCACCCTGCTAACCAGGGGTTGC